TCACTTGACTGCTTTAGTTGTTGTAGAAAGTAGTTCTGTCATGTGGCTATGTCAAGTGATATTTTCATATGGTGGTAAAGAAATCATATCATGACTAAGTTGCCTCATGGATTTTGCTTAGCGACCAGCACAGACAGTCACAGTGGCCCTAACCATTTATAGACTGATAGGTGTTAAGAATCCCAGGGTGATGATCTAGGCCAGATGGGATATTTAAGCAGCTTTTCACAGGTTGTCAATTTCATGGGTATCTGTGGGTTCACTTATGTTTGCTTATTATTAATCCATGTATTTTTGTAAGCCTGCAGGAGAAAAGGGAAAAAAAAGAACTTCACATTGGGTCGTATTAAGAGATCATGTGGAGAGTTTGAACTTTGTAATCTTTTTTTCTTTCTTTTCATTTTCACAACTATCCTTTGTGGTAAATACAGTTTACCCTTCTCATTATCACCTTGATCAAGATCACACAGGCATAGCTGGGACTTAAATTCAGAAAGCCCAAAGCCGACGGTAGTGCTGTGATCCCCAAGCTTTCCTGTTTCTGGAATGAGAGGGAATAGAGTGCTGAGCACACATGCGACAATCTTTTTGTCATTTGGGAACTGGGGGAATCTGAGAAGTGAGCCCAGCAAAGAAGAAGGAAATAGCATTTGGAGCACAAACGCAGCGTGTGGAAGGCCTGAGCGTTGTAGTAGTCGTGTTGTAGGGTCTTAAAGACAACCACCCTGGCTAGAGCCTCATGAGCAGGAGGAGCAGTGAAACTGTGCAGGTAGGTGTCCTTGTTAAGGAGAAGAAATCACAGCATTGAGGTGAATAGGTTTTTTATATGTACAATATCTTATAAGAAAGTTCATGAGACTATTGACCTGATATGCAGATATCAAGTAAAATCTAAATCATAATCTGACTCTTAATATTTCTTTCACTTATAGTTTTCATAAAAATATTTAGCTCAGTGGTAGAGTACTTGCCTAGTATGCATGAGGCCCTGGGTTTGATCCCCAGCAGCCCGTGTGTGTGTGTGTGTGTGTGTGTGTGTGTGTGTGTGTGTGTGTGTATGTGACAGAACCTAGGGAATTGCAACCTAATGGTGTAATGACAAAGCTTCTTTTAAATATTAAGCCAAGAGCATTCATGTTAATGTGAAAAAACAGATTCCAGGGAGGACAAAGGAGCCTTTTCCTCACCTGTCATTACAAATTTAATGAAATATTTGAAGGAGTGAACTGATGAGCCTGATCGCATTGCCTCCTAAAGCTGTTGCAGGGAAAATGCTTCTGAAAAGTCATAGAATCTGGCCTTCACTAGAGGGAATGGCCCTTAGGGTAGATTTTATCTTAGTTCTGAATTAACATTTTGAGTATGTCTTAGCATTTTAATATCTCTTGCAGTATCTGTTACTTAGTGAGTTCTGGAATCTTCTGGAGGAAGGCAAGCAGAAGGGTTGGGAAGAAGGAAGGAAGGAAGGAAGGAGGGAGGACAGTGATAGAGGATCCTCAGTGTGTTTTTTCCTGAAGCACAAAACCAACAGAAGTTAGCAGCGAGCTGAGCACAGCCTGCCACTAGCCTCAAACCCCAGGTACCATCATGCTCCAAAAGGAAGATAAGATGGGTATTGGCCTTACATCTTCAAAAGTTTTCTGTGGAATCAGTCCAACTATATGACTAGTTTTTGTCTCAGGAATGTTGGTTTTTATCTAGAACAATCTGATATGAAGACAGATGAAACAAGAATAAGGAAATAGTTTATTACACATTTTTAAAATGTACTTCCTTTATATTGTTCCATTTATGTGGGTATTATATGGGTTTTATTATGATTAACTTGCTTCTTAGCAAAAAATCTGAGTTTCTCAACATCATTTCAGCAAAAATTGTTATGCTAATAATAGGAAGGGTTTTTAATTTTGCTAATTAATATGCAGCCTGGCTAACCTGATTATATGATTCTGCTAGAAACTGTGTTTAGGTCTATTAACATAGCATAATAAATTTCAAACAGGGCCGGGGATTTAGCTCAGCAATTCGGTGGCCTGCCTTGCAAGCACAAGGACCCAAGTTCAATCCCCGGTACCAAAAATAAAAAAAAAATTTTTCAAATAAATATTTTTTTTGTTGTCTTTTCCCAGTTAAAGTTTCACTGTATGTTTTTATTCAAAAATGGGGCTTTCTGTTTGTATCAAGAAAAAGTGTAAGTGTATAATTAATTTTAACTTTTTTTCTTTTGGTACCGGGGATTGAACTCAGGACCTTGGGCTTGCAAGGCAGGTGCCAGATCCAATTGTAACTATTTTTTTAAAAGTAGTTGCCATTTGGCTTTTCAAGGCTTAAAAGTGAGAACCTGGTATAGTACAAATATGAATAATTCAGTACTCTGTTCAATACGTGTTTATTAAATACCTAATATGTCACAGGGCATACATGCAGTTCTGGAGATACTGTGTAAACATAAGAGGTAAAGGCTAACACTGTTTCTACTTGTCTTCCACGTGAAACAGAGATGACCTGAGATTCAGTCCACCCTAGAGGACCCATGTTTCAAGTCTAACCTTAGTCTGTCTTCTTGCCACATGTTGCTGGGGCCAGAACAGCAGAGCTGAGGCAACTAAGTAGATAACAGAGCATTCAGAAAACTAGGGAGAGAAGACAGTCATTTTGCAGTCTATGTTCTGCAGTCTTTGCAATACAATTGATAGATTTTGCATGAAAGTAAACTGATCAACTAGTATGGTGACAGAACTGTTTGCTTTGATGCAAACCAGCTGATATATCCCACCCATACAGCACTGTATAAAAGAATGGTGTATAAAAGAATGTGTGCATATAAATGGAGCATAAACAGGGAGAAACTATCTGAAGATAGTCATATTGATTAAATTCATCAGTACGCTGTAGAAAGAGATTGAACATTCATGTCCAAACTGCACACAATTTCTAGTTTGCTGTATTTAATTTACTCATGTAAACTGTGGAATAATCTGTATATAAGGACTGATCAAAACACATGATATGTGTAAATTCAAATGTTTATTACAATAAGACACATTACTATTAATCCCTTTTAAAATATTTCCCCTCACTTTGAACACATATCCCATTGTTCTTGCCATTTTCTGAAGCAGTTCTGGAAGTTCTCTCTCATGAATGTCTCCACAAGGTGTGATCGAAAGTATGGTGAACGCTGCTCCTGAGTGCCATTCAACACAAAGGCAGGCTCATAAAAACAGAGTGTGTCCTTATCCACCTTATTCCTGGGATCTATCACCATGTGACTTCCCCCTCTTCTGCAAAGCAAAATGACCATGTAAAGGAAACATTTAAATCCATACAGGGCATTAACACGGCTATAGCAGCACAGCTAAAACCACAAAAAGGACTTCTAGAATTACTTCTAAGTGGCAAGGATGATGGGATAAGTGTGATCGAAGCAAGTGGGAGTATTTTGAGAGGAATTAATTACAATTTCTTTTTTACTGTAATATTTTTAAATGTAAACATTCACTATGTTTTTGATCACAGCATGTACATTCTCGTTTCATTGTACAAATTGAATAATTTTGAGTCTTGTCTTTGTCGTTGAAAGTTATGTATTAAAGACCATTTAGAACAAAACCCCTCAGGCGGGAGCTATAATTTATCATGCCTTCTGCTGTGTCTCTAGTATGTAGTACTGTGCCTATGTGGACCTTGTGTCATGTTGTCTGGCTGCCAAGAATTTTTGAACACTCTTTTTCTGTTTAGGAAATTACTCACCTTATGAGTCCTACTTCCCCAAAGTAGAAACCAGAAAACCAAATCTCCCAGCCTCCACTGTAGCTAAGGTAGAGGCATATTACCCAATATTCTCTGACCACATGCACCCACAAAAGGTTTCTGTTCAGAAATGAACAACACAAGGAAGCAGTCTTTTCCCCAAATCTAACTTTTCTAACATCAGGCTTTCTCCCCCAAGAAGTTTCGGTCAACATTGCCTATCCCAGGGCCAGGGATTTAGCTCAGTGGTTTGGTGGCCTTGCAAGCGCAAAGACCTGAGTTCAATCCCCAGTACCAAAAAAAAAAAAAACAAAAAAACAAAAAAAAAAGCATTGCCTATCCCTCTCCAAGTGGGCTATATTAGGTACATACTTCTCGTCTAACTACTTTCTCATTATGCTTTACCGTTGTACTATAATTACTAGCACCCTTTATTAGGTTATAATCTGCTATCTGTTTTAAATGGGAAACAAAAAATATATGTTGTATCAAACACAATACAATTCTTCTTCCTAACCACATAAAGTTAAAACAGAGTACTCTGGATGACCAGACAGCTCCCCTCAGGAGATGACTCAGGATCCACGCGTCTTGCACCTCATGGCTTCATCTGCAGTGGCTTTCAAGGGTGTCACTCTCATCTGAACCAGGCCAGAAGGCAAGGGTATGGGGAGCCATACGCTGGGGGCTCACAAGCAAGCTTGGAAGTGATGCTTCTCACTTGTGTTCATATTTTATGGCCCAGAACTCAGCTGCCTGGCTATACCTAAATCTAAAATACAGTCTAGCTTCTTCCAGGTGTGAGTACCCTAACATGAGAAAGTCATGATAAAATGTCATGCTTACCTTTTGTCCTCTTACTTGCTTCCTTTTTCCACATTTGGGAAACAAAATTACCAGCACTAAGGTTAGTACAGTTACCCTATGTAAATCACAGACAGATGTGGCTCTGGCCCGGATTCCTTTTAGTTGACTCTCCATTGCGTTTTTGCTAAGCATTTCTGTTTTAGGGACACGTATTCATTGGATAGTTATTTCTAAATGCTCTGCCTAAAATTGCTTTTATCTCCAGGCTCCCCATGTGTCAGTTTGAAAGGGAAAGTGCTTAGCAGGCAGCCTGCGTGCCACATGTGTTCTAAGCTGCTGGCACATGGAAGAGTTGGGAAGTTCCAAATCACTGCCTATTGGCCACCCATGGGCTAATGATGGAAATGTCTCTTTATTTTCCCTGCTTCTCCTGGACCTAGGTGCCTTATCAGCAGCCAGAGAGAGCTGGGAATATGACTCTGGTGCCAGGGACCTCCAGAGCCCAGACTTGCAGACTCAGTCGGGCCTACAGAAGCTGCTGGAGTATGCCGGAAGGCCTTTGCATCAGCAAGCTGCTCTTCACAAACTGCTCATACAGTCCCCACGTTTTGGCAACTCTGTAGGAGGACGCTACCTAGAGCTGGCCAACACAGTGAGTACGTTTTGCTTCAGAGGACATATCCACATGTCCTATATTTCAATACAAATATTTTAATTTTGATCTCCAGAAGACATATTGGATATTGTCTTCTTTACTGAGCTAAATCTTGTACCATTTCCAGCATTGTCAATAATGTTTAGTGCTTCAAAGCTGCTAGTCATAAAAGGACTCCGCTGTCATTATTAAGGCCAGAATAGCAAGGTATGGTGGTGCATGCCCGTAACCTCAGCACTGGGGAAACTGAGGCCAGAAGACTGCTATGAGATTAGGGCCAGCCTCGGCTACATAGAGAGTTCAAGGCCCACCTGGACTGCATAGCAAGACCCCACCTCAGGAGAAAGACCCGTGAATTCTTAAGGCTGTTTTGATGAAGTTCATAACTTGTCCAGATGTAATTACTAAAAAATCTACAATAGTTTTCTTTTTGGGGGTGGGGGTACTGGGGATCAAGCTCGGGACCTTGCATTTGCGAGGCAGGCGGTTGAACCACTGAGCTAAATCCCCAGCCCTACAACAGCTTTCTTATAATTGGAATGCTTCTATGGTACCAGGCATTATAAATTAATAGGATACACTTATTTATGCCCCCTATTTTGGAATTTACTCAATTGAAAAACAAAGAAAAAATATTATTTGAAAGTTTATTGTTTCTGCTTATCCTTTTGAACTATTTCTGTTGGAAATTATGGGACAACTTAGATTTTTTTTAAGATACTTAGAATTTTATTATGCATAGTTTAAATTTCCTATTCTTTTCTTTTCTTTTTTTCTTGGTTCTAGGAATTTAACCCAGAGCCTCAGACATGCTAAGCATGAGCTCTACCACTGAGCTATACTCCCAGCGCCCTTTTATCTCGAGATGAGTCATTACTGTGGTAACCTTTGGGTAAATAGCTATTGTCTGCCTTGGTGAGAGCTGGGGAATAAGGGCAGGTGGATGATGACCTGGGATATTTTGAGAAATATGCAGTTTACAAATAGAGATTGCTACCCAAACAGTGTGGTAAGGTAAAAAAAAAAAAACCTTGGCTTTTTGAAATTGCAGTTCAGATAGTGGAATAAGCATCCTCACCACTTTGACTTGTAGATATATTCACATTCTGCTTTGATGTCGACCTAGAAGTTTACAGACAGATGTACAACATATTTCTCAATTCAGACTTTTTGCTGAGATGTTTGAAGGAACTAACAATCCTAAGTATACTAGCAATAATTAAAACACAACAATTAGACAAATCTCAATTAAAAGATGTTCTATAAAATGCCTCGACAGTACCCTTCAAAACTATTGAGGTTTAGCTCAGTGGTACCAGGCCTGCCTTGAAAGTGCAAGGTCCTGAGTTTGATCCCTGGTATCAAAAACAAAAAAACTATTGAGGTTACCAAAAGTCAGGAAAATCTGAGAAGAGAAACTCTCCACTGTAAGCAGTCTCAGAAGGTCTGACCTAATGTTGTGTGGTGCCCTGGATGGGCTTCTGCAACAGAAAAGGAACATTAGGTAAAAACTTAAGGAAATCTGAATAAAATATAGACTTGACAATGTAACAATATTGATTCATTAACTGTGATAAGTATTGGGTAACAAGTATAAGTTGTTAATAAGTAGGGAAAATTGATGTATGAGAGCACTCTATCCTGTCTGCAACATCTTAGAAATCTAAAGGTCTTTAAAAAATAAAAAACTGAGCCAGGAATTTAGCTCAGTGGTTCCAGCACCTGACTTGCAAGCATAAGGATCTGAGTTCGATCCCTGTTACCAAAAACAAATTATTAAAACCACATACACACAAAACCACTACCATCATGTGTTTGCATCTCCGGAAGTCCACCAAAGCATCCATAGAGTTACGGCACTGTTTGTCACTTTCGCCCCTTGAGGATGATCTTGCACAGTCTGAGAACTGTACTGTTCTGCTTGCCTTGTATGCTCAGAGAACTGGGCAATTATTCACAAATCTGTATGTCATCTTTCCCTGACACGAACCTGGGTATAGGCAGTGCCTCTTAATTTGCAGCAAGGATATCCTTCCTCTGTGCTATACCAGCTAAGCCTTTCTTCCAGGTAAGCATTGCCATGGCAGCATAGGTTACAGAAAATCATTGTGCACACTGATCAAAACTTGGCGGCACCACTCTGAAGGGTTTAGGGTTTATGGATCACCAGTTTTCTGCAAGAAAACCACTACTAAAAGCTGAGGGAGTTGACTGGTTCCCTTCCTTGGTTCTGTTTCTGTCAGAGGCCAGTTTAGCCCTTGGGCTCTCCACAGTCAAGTTGCAAGTAAGCTGTTCAGAAGAGACAAGGCTCAGAGTCCTCACATGCCCTAGACCCATGTACCCTGTTTGTGTACTGTTAGTTATGCTTCAGAGCTAAGGAAACACTGCCTGAGAGCACCTCTGCAGAGGCCAGCTTGAGAAGCATTCCCAGAAATGCCAAGCACCCAGATCACACAGGGGCAATGAACTGAGGGACATTTGTGAACTGTGCACTTGCAGCTTGCACTTTTCTGTATGCACACATCTATAAAAGTTGATGAAGTTGAGCATGGTGGTGCATGCCTGTAATCCCACCATTCAAGGAGGCTGAAGCGGGAGGATTACAGGTTCAAGCCTAGCCTGGGCAATTTAGCAAGATCCTGTCTCAAAATAGAAAACAACGAGGCCTGGGGATGTATTTCATTGCCAAGAAGAAAGAAAAACATTATTAGTGATAGTGGTTATTCATTGGAACATACTGAATAAGTTAAAAAAAGACAAGTGTAACATTATAACAGTTGCTCCACTCAAATGAGCAAATAAATAACATTGTACATGATTATTTAAAGAGATCCTTTGGGAAGAACTGGAACACGATATAAAAGCCTGCACGGTAGTCCTATGTCACCAATATTTTCTGAGTGAAAAATTTAAAAGCCATTTGAACTTGCAGACCCTTAAGAATGCCCTTGTAGTAGAGGATTTGTATGGGCTCCAGTTCTTCATCCACTCCTTTATCTTCACTATTTGTCATATAGCTTCGAAGTTTTTCAGGTCTGCAAAAAATTATAGGTTAGTGGTGGTGAACCTGTGGCACATGAGTCATAGCGGGCTATTGGTTATCACTGAAAACTAAAAGGTTTGCCATCATTGTCATAGATGGTCACTGTGTTAACTGCTATATTTGAAGGGCTTTGTTTCCCAGACATGGTTGACTTAAGGTCTGCTCACGGGAGTCTGTGGAACCTCACTTGAGAAATACGCCCCCCTATGTAGCCAAAGAAAGCAAATATGTTAACCACAAAGTTTGGTATCTACTGTCTCAGGTAGAAGAAGACAGGTGCTTGGTGGTGTGAGAAAAGGAAGGAACACTTAGAAAGCTGAAAACCTTGATTAGGAGGCTCCAGAAGCTTCTGATCCTCAAGTTGCCAGTACAGTTCTGTTTGTTGCCTTTAGACTCTGATCCCCACTTCTGTGTCCTGGTTAGTGGTGCTGGGTCTGCAGATGTGTGTCCTCTGTCAACAGAGGGCGCTGGAGGGACAGTGGAGGAAGAAGGCACTTCTGAGGGCTCTGCTGTGCCCACCTCAGGCTTGTTCTTGTGGTGGTGTCTGAACTCTGGAAGTGCAGGACCTCTGCGGATGCTCACTTTCAGTGAGTGTTAGTGGAATCTTCTGGGAAACTTCTTTAAAACCTCTAAACTGCACATGTGAGCAATCCCTTTATTCATAAAATCACATTAAATGTAATTTGTATTTCTTCTAAAACCAGGTCCTGAATTGATAAAATGAAGTTAAAAAAACTATTAAGAGTGGGGCCTGGGATTTAGCTCAGTGGTTCTGCCACCTGCCTTGCAAGTGCAAGGTCCTGATTTTGATCCCCAGTACCAAAGAAAACAAAACAAAACTATTGAGAGTGAAAAGCATTTATCAGTATCCATTTAGGAGACAGAAAACAGTAATTCACACAGGAAAAGTTTAAAATAAAGAATTATTGACAAGCTGGGTGTAAGGATATGTACCTGTAATCTCAGCACTCTGGGAGGCTGAAGCAGGAGGATAAGCTCAAGCTCAGCCTGGGAAACTTGGCACCTTAAGGACTTTGCAAAACCTTGTCTCAAAACAAACAGAAAAAGGCATGTGTGTTTGTGTGTGTGTGTGTGTGTGTGTGTGTGTAGCTCAGTGAGAAGACCTTGAGTTCAATCCCCAGTAATGAAAAAAAAAATTAACAGGTAACCAAGGATGACCTACTAAGAAGTAAAGAAAACTGGTGAATACAGGAATAGTACACATGAAAAACCAGCCCCTACCTGAGCAGAGTACCCAAGGAAGGAACAGATTTAGAAGTGCACCCTCCCCTCACCTAGGGCTGATTCAGACTCTGCAAGGAGGGAGTAGCAGCACCCACAAGATAGCAGAGATGTCCCCTGAGACACTGGGCAAGGCTGGCAATCAGGAAGCCCGCTCTGGGGAGCATCAGTCCAATTTGCTGGAATGCCACACAGTGGGGCATCTAAAAAATTTATCGAGCTTTGCTAAGAAAGTGCCAGAGGAATTCCCTCTGAAGCCTGGGGAATGGTGACAACGCCCACCAAGAGGTTCCCCAGAAGGTTCCACTAACACTCACTGAAAGTGAGCATCCCCAGAGGTCCTGCACTTCCAGAGTCCAGACACCACCACAAGAACAAGCCTGGGGGAGCACAGCAGAGCCCTCAGAAGTGCCTTCTTCCTCCACTGTCCCTCCAGCGCCCTCTGTTGACAGAGGACACACATCTGCAGACCCAGCACCACTAACCAGGGTACAGAAGTGGGGATCAGAATCTAAAGGCAACAAACAACTGTACTGGCAACTTGAGGATCAGAAGCTTCTGGAGCCTCCTAATCAAGGTTTTCAGCTTTCTAAGTGTCCCTTCCTTTTCTCACACCACCAAGCACCTGTCTTCTTCTGCCTGAGACAGTAGATACCAAACTTTGTGGTTAACATACTATTTCAAAAAAATTCAACAGGGGCTGGGGATTTAG